ATATTCTCAGTGACACTTGGTAACCTTGGCCACGTGGAGTGGTTAGTAAATTTTCTGGTCACATGCCACGGCCCACTTCCTGAAGAAGCAAACACTAAAATTTCCCACTCTGACAGCTTTCTTACATCAGTTTCCAGTAAGAAACAAGGGACATCACCGTTCATCACAGCAACGGAAGAACCTTCACCGTGTTAACGATGAGTAATTCAAATACGTAGTTGGCGTCAAACTTGGCATTCACGGGGCTTCAGCGTTGGACAGTTCAATCAAGTTTCACATTGTAGGAGGCCGCGCCATAGCTCAAGCGGTTAGTCGCTGACTTCCCAGCGCGGCGGCCCGGGTTCGATCCCGGGTCTGGTCAAGTGGGATTTGTGGTGAACAAAGTGGTGCTGGGGCGGATTTTCTCAGAGTACTTCGGTTTTCCCTGCCAATTTTCATTCCGCCAAATTCTCCATCATCATAATCACCCGGGGCAGGCTACAATAGGCCAATCAGTGGCCGCCGTGCAGAGTGGACCCAGCTGGACTCTACCCCACAGTAAGCGAATTAAAAAAATCATATTGTAAAGTAGATTCACCACATGCAACATTTTCTTTCAAGTTTTATAACCCATGAACAGAAATTCTGGGACGGAATTTCCACGTTGTGGTTCTGAGATACAGACAAAGAGAAGATAAAATTATAAAGTGAATAAAATTACAGCAAAATTCAAAATGTAAAGGCAGTTGGTTCAACTACAAAGTGACGTTCGCAACAGCGGAACAGAACAGAAAAAATATGTAAATAAAGTAGCATTGTAAGGTCTTGGTAAAAGTTCCCGATAATAAGTAAAGCAGTGACTTAAATATGTGTTAAATATAATTAATCCGAGACCATATTTATCTCTTATATCTTTAGGCCGCAATAACATAAACTGCTCTCTATCATATTCAACTGTATTATATTATGAGATATTCCCTTTTTAGTAAGCAAATCCACATTAAGTATTACAAGTATTCAACGATCAAAATAACCAGTGTTAAATTTTAGTACGTTAATATGTTATATTGAGTCTGCCCGAAACGAAAGCATTGAAAATACGTTGATGGATTATCTGTTATTTGTAATAATGAGGTGGACCGATTATATTATTAACATTTTTCAAATATGTTTCTTCTTTATAAATCTTAAAAGGACGACACTATATGGTATTAAATCGCCATAAATTATGTTTTGGTGTTTCGAACTTATAAATACGTTGCTAGAACTAGGTTACAAAAAATGGCACGAACTGTGAAAATTTAATCTTTGGGTGAAGTTGGCTAAATACTGACGTATCACATGTTATTCAGAAGATACTTTTTCCTAATACCGTCCTGGGTACCAGTTATCTTGGTTTAAATTTTTGTATTTTACTTATTCTCGCCAGAACAGGTCTAGGTAGTACCTTGAAATGTGCCACGACCACTTCTCCGTTATTTCAACTTTACCGCACATAAACGTATATTTTTCTCGTCCCTAGATTGTCGTCAAATGACCTACCAGCAGGTCATACAACGAATAGTTCTTCACTGCGAAAGCAATATAAGCATATTGAAGCATACAAAAATGTAATTTGTAACTGTAGCATAAAATCCACTGGCTCAGACTCTTCCAGTTTGCTTTATATCTAACTCGAAGGAACGGGATCTTGTTTCAAGAGCTCATAGTCGCTGAGACTGGCAAGAAAGGAGTGGAACCAGAAGATAAATTATAGCGTTAACAAGAATCCGTCGTTGAATACTACAGTATCCGCCAAAATATCAGTACTGAAATGAAAAGACGTCCTGTTGATACCACTGTCTATTCATATGAAGGCCCCTTGCACGACAGAACCTTCTTAAATCCTGAAGAAATGGTCCGATCACAATGTCCCTGTAGCGTTCTTGGGTGACGGTAAGAGCAGTGCCTTCCTCATCCTCACTGAAATAGGGGCCTAATATACCGTGTGCTGAGGCGGCACACCATATCGTCACACATGTGCTGTGTAGCGGTTTCTGGACGATAATATCTGGCCGCTCAAGACCAAGGAAGCGAGTTGTCTGGCGACCACTTCCGTATGAGCGGAAATAATACTAAACTATGAATACTTTTTCCTCCGTCGAGAGACCCATTTCCAACAACTGCACAACACAACTTCCTTTTCACTACTGGGAACACGTGCGGCTGGAGCTATGCCCCCGTCGACAAACGCACATGCGCGTTCGAGATGCGCGAGTTTCAGTACTGTAATTTTGGCGCATACTGTATTACTGAGCCAGATGAATACAGTCTAGTTTACTAAGCTACAGTTCATTACTATTCTTCCATCCAAACGTAGGGCTAGGCCCTCCTAATAGCCTCCCTCTTTGAGGTTTTCCAAATATTGCGACAGGATAACCGAAAAAGGCAGCCGTTGTTAGGCAAAGGCTGGGCAAACACGTAACAAACCTGATTCATTGCTAGAAAACGGCACGATAAACACATTTCCGCGGTAACGAACAGCCACGAAAATGAGAAATTATTGGAAACGGTGTTTTCTATACATTCCATGCCGAGGCTATATAAGGAAAACCAACCGGATTGCGGTCGACAATCCCGCGTGGAGGCGGGGTCTAGTACTTCCACCGCAGCCTTGCGAGTCGTAAGGGGAGACGAAAAGGGAACCCAGTGCCTGTGGATGTAATTGGAGCACCCTGTTCCTGGGAGATATAAATGAGGGGACCTAGTCCTCCAGATTGGAGGAGCTTTGAATTTGAGACAGTAAAATATGGTTATGAGTCCCTCAGGATTCGGACCCGAGTATGACTGCGCTGGCGAGGGCCAGCAGCAATTGCAAGCGCCATCCTCTCGTGAGAGAGGATGTTACATAAGGACTGTAACCGCAAGTGTTCAGTTGAAGAAAAAGAGTACTGCTCATGGGTCTCAAGGGGCTTGCCGCCAAGACGAACTGATTGACGCTAAATCGCCAGTTGTAAAGTAAATCTGACTCTACGGTCGACTGACCGACAGACTACAGCGTGGAGTCGGCAGTTGGTTGCGGCTGAGAGGTTCCAGCTGGCATGGGTGAGCACGGGAGCGGAGACGTCTGAATTGTTGAGATTTGTAACGAAGCAACACCTAGTGAAGACGAGCTGAGAAGAATTATAATGTATTATAGTGAACCGTAGAGAGCATAGATTAGCGATTGTGTTATAATTATGAAGTACAAAGATTCAATAAATCCAGTTACAAATTAACCAATCCAACCCAAACACGTGACAATATTATACACATTTCTCTATGATTACTCTAATTGTATTGAAGAATACAATTTATTAAGCTTCTCATAACGCAGTTCCCTCCGTCTTCCAATTTTCTATCCGCAACTCAACTCCTTTAACGCCCTCGTGCGAGCGGGCGAGAGTATTTCTGGACCCATGCTCATAACAATTGCCTTGAGTTTCATAAAAGAGAATGTGTGTTAGTACAGCCAATATCCTGTGTTCGATAGAAAGATCATTTCATTATAATAGAGTATTACGAATTGCGTGTTGTGGCGTTGTGTAGGATGTTTGGATTCTATGTCAAGAGATTTAGTTAGTTTGTTTACTTATTTGTTTGCTTGACTTTATAGTATGCCCCGCTCAGGCTGCTAATCACCGGATCTTTACCACAGGGACCTGAGATGAACCACGGGGTTGTCCAAGTGGGACAGGTTTATCTCCGAGGACTTCGGATTTCCCGCACCAGTTATTAGTCCTACTATTTTCCTTATCCGTTTTCGGAGGCTGGTACAGTAAGCCAAACTGAGGCCTCAGTACTAGGGTACTCAAAGTAACCCATACCAATTAAAAATAACTGCTTGTTCAGATAAGCAATTTCCCTACGATGGATCTTAAGGATAGAGGATCCGCGGATATGGACTGCATTCATCTGTCTCAAGACAGAGACACGTAATAGGCTGTTGCGAACACTGTAACGAACCTTCGGATTGCACAAAATGCGTGGAGTTTCTTGAGTAGATGGGTAGCTATTAGTTTCTGAAGGACTCCATAGATGTACCTAGTTAGTTAGCTAATTAATAATGTAGGTATGTGGGTATACTTCAAAATTAGGGCCCGAAATGCCAGAAGTTCTCCTTATATTCCTCTAACATCCTGTATTCTAGCGTGCGTGAATATGACGGCCGACAGTTTCCTTCAGCCGGCCGTCAGCTTAGTTTCACTTCTAATCGAGAGAGGTCGTGGTATTTTGCGAACGTTTGTGGCTAAATTCATTACGCAGAGAACGGAGGCACCGTGGGAGTTGTATAATGCAAAACATTGGAGCCAAGACCAGCGTGGTGAGTAACTTTGATAACACAAGCAGCAGCAGCAACCTTGGCGCGGAATGACGGAACTAGAATAGCACACAAGCAGCTCGTAACAAGCGTAACAAGAGTTCCGTTTCCTCTTGTCTCTCTCACGCACTTTGCGGTTCCAGCTTTGGATACTCTGACCAGCTGTTTTCATGCGGCTTCCTTTTCCCCATGCATTATAAGAAAACATAAATCTAGTGTATATAATACCAGTGTGTCTGGTTCCCTTGATGAGTTTTTTTAAATTGATTTTAAACACTGTGTTGTATTGACGCCTCCTGTTGCACTGCATATTCCAGTTTTAGCATTCTCATTTTACAGTCTCTGTGCAACTCCATCCATATATTTAAGTCACACTTAGAGGATGTTTGCCCCATCTTATCTATTTTATATTACATGTTTCGGTCTAAATGGTCATTATCAGGCGTATAAGAGAAAAGCTGCTGCTCTGTTGTTACGCTGTTGTATTTCGCATTTTACGAGTAATGTAAAATGCTTATAAAACTTTTAGAGGTTAGGTTTATCATGGTTACTTTTGCTTGCCCATGTATCGTGGGTCTGATGTGCCTGTAATATTTGATAATGGGTTATATTAGTTATTTTATTTAAGAGATTGATACTTTATATGCTGTTATTCTATCGCTGTGATTGTAATGTTACTTACGTTTATTGGTGTGTTGGTTTCGTTTCTTTCTGCTACGTGTAGCCATTTTGGTTGGTTCTTGCAATGGTTCTGTAGGGGGGTGGGGTAGGGTGTGTGTGCTGCTAACTGGTGTTCATTTCCTACGATGTCCTGAATATTGGTTTTTATGTATCGACGTTCGTAATTTTAAACACTTTCATGAAACTTGGTGTGAGTGTAATGTCACTGAAAGCCTTTGTACTGTTCAACTCTATACATTACAACCTACAAAGTAGTAAAGCTACACTCAGCGTCAGTATCTATACTGAACAATCGAGTTGTACACTTCCATACAAGAAATTGTTGCTGTCACCGAAAACATCCTGTCTTGGAGTCTGTATTTGTCAGTTTAATGCAGTTATCATAGCATCCCTCTGCCCACATACAGAAAGTTAGGTGAGATTTATCAGTCATTAGCAATTTTGGGTTACTATAGTAACGAACTGTCCGGCGCTAACACATTGCATGAACAGGAGTTATACAGGTCACGAAGGAGCGAGGCATCTATGAGTTATATATCGTGTCTATTCTGCATATATTGATAGATATTGTGATGTGGTTGTACAAAGGGCAAAAGACAACAGGTAAATTTGTCCCTGTGCTTAGTTAATTAAGCACTATGCCATGAAGATGTGTTGGGCAGTAGAGGTATATTTCCACCATTCTTGACCTCGGGACTAGATGGAGGTGAGTAATCAGCTTCATGCTCAGGCCACTTTACCCGGGAGAAAGAACCCCCAGATAGAAGGCTGGGTGAGCCTCAGAGCCGATCTGGACACTGTCAAGAAGAGAAAAATCTTGCCCTTCCGGGAATCGAATCCGGACCATGTAGCCCGTAGCCTGCCCTATACCGACTCATATGTAACGGGTAGCATACTATATAAAGTAGATCGTTTACGACTTATTATTTATGCGTTTTATTCATGTGAGATGACGTTAAACTTCGGTTTCGGCACATCGATAAGATATGTGACTGAAGAGGATTAAGAGAGAAAGAGGAGGAACTACGAAAGTTTATATAACAAGAGATGAGATCTGCCCAGAATTCTCAACGGGGATTACACTAGTATGCCCTGAAGTTTATTTTATCACTGTTCTCTCATCCACGTATCGTTTGCAAAATGCCTTATTTCAGTAAGTTAAACAGAAATATTTTTTCCCACTGTATTTTATTTCATAATGCATATTTTTAATAGAAATTAGTAGTTAAATGTTGAACTGTGTGGTTTCTTCAGATCTCTTAGTATAATAGATTGCGGAATCAATGAGGCATGTTTATCTAAGAATTTGACTATGATGGCAAGGGGAAGGGGGATATAAGCAGTACGTACAAAATTTTGGTAGGAAAACCTCTTGTTAAAAATACTCTTGGAAGAGTGAGAAATATGTGGAAAGCTAGCGTTAATACGGAGTTTCGGAATACGCTAAGGGGAACGGAGGTGTCTGGAGCTGCCTCCGAACACTTTCCAATGGTGGACTTTGTTATTAGCGGCGTTGAACATTTGGGTTCTTTTCAACAGCGTTAGATACCATCGCAGACGAGGTTAATATTTTACGTTAGCTTCTATGAAACCGGCGTTCAGTGCAGTCTTCATGTTACTTTGCGAGCGCGCACACAGGCGGACAAGCGAGACTCTCCTCCCGTCAATTCGGGCAAACGAACAAGTATAGATTTGGTTCATGGCTGTGTTATTTAGAGAACTGACTGTATAATCGGAAATAATTTAACTATTAATTGCGACGTTGACCGAACTGCAGTTTCAGGAGTTGCTGTACAAATAGAATTGTTGATACATGACTTCCGCACAATTCATTACAAAATCAACAATGTCCAAATCTTTCCCAGAAATTGTGCATTTGGCCGACTTTCATGTTTTTCTTCATAAAGTCATGCGCAACAGGTCTACCCTGGAGAAATAACCCGTGAGAGAGCTAAGCTAATTTAAAGCATCATTACAGCATTTCTCGTGAAAGGACTGAGCTAAAGCAACTATCCCAGCCAGCTGGAGTGACTGTATTTTTTTAATTCGCTTAGTGGGGGGTGGAGTCCAACTGGGTCCACCCGGCACGGCGGCCACTGATTGGCCTATTGTACATGCCCCGGCTGATTACGATGATCTAGAATTTGGTGGAATGAAGATTGGCAAGGGAGACCGAAGTACCCGGAGAAAACCCGCCCCAGCGCCACTTTGTCCACCACAGCTCCCACTTGACCAGACCCGGGATTGAACCCGGGCCGCCTCGGTGGGAAGCCAGCGACTAACCTCTTGAACTATGGCGCGACCTTGGAGTAACTGTAACGTCTAGATCCGTTCCTCAGTTTCAATCTCGGTCGGAACATTGGGTATCCTCACTGAGATTGTCTTCGTTTTCCACGGTCCCTCCAGATAAACGTCTGGGTAGTGCCCCTATTATGTCACGACCATTTTCTTCCAGATCCATTCCAATTTATCAGTCATCTCTCGTCATGTCTTTCTACGCTACTGACAGCGTCATAAAATAGCCCCCGATCGATTAAGAGGTTCTAACATCTGAATTCGTGGGTACGAAGGAGAACGCAATACATGAGCCATCACATTCGTTTCCTGCAAGGCTAACTCGCTTTATAATCATGCCTTCTTGGGAAGGATGTTGGGAAAAACAGTTCACTTTCTTCAAGTGAATGAGAAAACCCAGCTCTTAGGAACTTCGTCTCTGTTTATTTCGTAGTTTTCATTTACCCGAGTTAGTCTCTGATTTATGGTCGCGCCATAGCTCAAACGGTTAGTCGTTGGCTGCCCAAAGCCGCGGCCCGGGTTCGAACACGGGTCTGGTCAAGTGGGATTTGTGGTGGACAAAGTGGCTCTGGGGCTGGTTATCTTCGAGTACTTCAGTTTCCCCTGCCAATCTTTATTCAACCAAATTCTCCATCATCATCATCATAATCACTCGGGGCAGGTACAATAGGCAAATCAGTGGCCGCCGTGCCTAGTGGACCCAGCTACACTCCACCCCCCACTATGCGAATTAAAAAAAATGGTCTCTGATTTACATAGACCCGCAACCATTTAACACCAAGCTGTTTCGGTGTACGGCCCTCAGATTTATTCGGTTAGTTTACAGAATTTACTTGTTTTACTTGTGTTTCTTTTATCAAAAGTTAACAGAGCATGACGTCATATTAGCTGATGTGTATTGCTTACTATGTGTACAGCTATTGTTCAAGTAGACACCAAACTGATAAACACTATCTGAGCACAGTCCTGAGGTTAAGCTCCTCCGCCAGGACGGCCCACAATTGGACAAGAGCTGAGCTAGTCTCATCTATCTGTTTTACCCACAACTTGTCTCCCTGTGACTCGACTGGTGATCCTGCCATCTCCTGGATCTTCTAGGTTAATATTCTCAAAGAGGTTTCCCGACACAAATCCAGTAGGCCCCATGCGTCTCTTTTATTCCCCTAGATTTAACTATTTGAACAACTGTATGTTCATCTTCTGTATAAACCACGAACTTCATATTTATGTTATATGACAAATTGCTCAGCTGGTTCTTAGCACAAAAATTTCCTGGTAAACTGTCTTTAGAGCAGATATAATTGATCGAAATAACTGAGCTATGGACTTCGCCCTTCGTCTGACATATTAAAGAACTCAACGTTTCAGAAACTGGATCTGTTTACGTCTAGTTTCCGAAAAAGTTGTGTTCTTTCGAATACCGGACTATGAACAAACCCTGAGACACCAGTAATCCCGACTGTCAGAAGCGTTTAGAATCGAGATGAAATTTATGTTCTTCCATTAAAGTAAGACAGCGGGATTCACAACCATATAACACAAATTACAAAATTATGGATGTATGCATCATGATCACCAACGTCTCATATTATTTAATTAATTATATTTGTTTTATTTAATGATATTTTAGCATCTCAGACTATATATCGTTGGGTGATCAGACGAAGGATATGTAAGGCAGTGGTCGTGGGCTAATTTATGTTACTATTCCGGAATTTTCCTAGAGATACAGAGGAAGACCACGAAACAGCTCAGTCGGTATAGGCGGTGTCCCGACCGAAGTTCGAACTGGGCATTTCCCGAATACAAGATAGAAGCGTTACCGCTTGACGTAGCCTGCTAGGTGTTTTGGAAACGACGTAGGATTATAATAGTTTTCGACCTAACTTAAAGCCAGAATTTTCAGGCTTTATACCTCTCCTGTCATAATAATTCTCATTTTCATAGCATAGAGTATAAATATTTTCCAGTTGGCATATGATATTTGGGCCGGTCACGGTAGCCGAGCGGTCTAAGGCATGCACTGTCTTCGCTCGCTCGGAAGCCGGGATCGTGGGTTCGAATCCCACTCAGGGCATGGATGTTTGTGTGTGTTTTTCTGTGTTTGTCTACAGGTAGAGGCCTTGCGACGAGCTGATCACTCGCCCAAGGAGTCCTACCGTATGTGTAAGATCTAGAAAAACTGAAGTGAGCGGAGTTCATGGAGGTAGGCCTAGGCCCACTGGGGCTGTAGTGCCAACGAAAAAAAAAAATGTGATGTTTGGAGTAATTATTCTTCCGGTAAGCTCTCCTAATGCCGAAATGTTCTTTAACCGTGTAAATATATAATAACTATATGAGCCATATGATTCATCATTTTAAAGTTCTATATATTTCTCACAAAATGTGTTGATATGTTTCAAGTGATTCTCAGAACAAACAACAACTATTTCCCTAAACAACGTTAACTGATTCGTTTATGCAACTCAGAGGTAGTGCGTGAGACAGGAAGTGAATCTCTAAATGTTGCTGAAATGATAATCATACTGTAAAGTTGAATAAGGAAACGTGGAAGCCACTTTCTGTTGTAAACTTAATGAAGGAAATCAATACTGTCAAGGCAAGAGAAGGTCAGCTTGATTAGATTAATGGCTGCCGACAGAATTAAACGAGTCATGTATTAAATAGATTATGTGCAGAATGTTGATACGCACAAATTATACTTTCTTTAAATAAAGATAAGTATAATTATCAGAGGGAATAATATCTTCTGTTGTAGTTAATTAGTCTTATTGC